TCTGTTCTTGTAAACATTGTTCTCATTTTTTTTTCAAATGTATGCATCATTGAGCCTTCAGAGAATTCCACTCCATGGAGACACTTTTCCAAGTTACTACCTAAGTCTGGGGTCTCCAACACCTTTAGGCTGAGTGACTTGCTATAAGAACCCATAAGAGTAAGTAGACCTGTAACTTATGAGTAACAGGTAAATTATGATTTATTAACTTGTAAATAATTATTACAGAGAAAGAACACCAAGCAGATTCAGCAAAGGAAAAAGGCACATGGGCAAAGACCAGAGGAAACCAGGTGTAGACTCCAAGAGTCTTCCAGTAGAGTCATACCAGACTAGTAAAGATGAATAGAGTATTATCAGGAAAGCTTGCCTGAGCAGGGTCTTTAATTGGGGTCAGACATGTAGCCCTAGCATGTACCTAAATTCCAACTACCTGAAGGAAAGTAGGAGTCTGACATAAACCTTTATATTTATACAAACATTTTGGTAGACCACCCTTAACTGCTGGAAAATAGTGGAAACACTCCCAAAATACAAATTGCTGGACACTACTCAAGGGTGAACCTTGAAGCAGGTCTTTCTACAGATAACAGGTTTGGGCCTGCTCTGTAAAATATTTAGAACTGAGCTATGAACTGCACTACATGTATGCCAGTCACCAACCGCGAAGTCATCTCTTTCACCTCTGAGTGCGAGATGAGCCAGTACCCGTTAACCTGTTTCTTCAGATCTCACTGCTGGTCCACTTGTGTTAGTGTGGGCCTCCCAAGAAGCAGATAACACAACATCAGTTGTACAATAGGTTTATTAGGGGAATGCTGGTGAGGAATAGGGAGGGAGTTGGGGTTGACGGAAGGCTAGGAGGCAACCAGTCCCCAAAACAGGTATGACCCAGAGTGAAAGAGGAAGGAAGGTTGGGTGAAAGCAACTTAGACAATACCATCAGGGAGTCCTCAAGTCAAAGTCCAGGAGTTATAATATCCTTGGGGTGCTCAGCCACTGGTGGCCACAGTGCATGAGAAGCACAGCCTCTGCATGAACACAGGGCTGGATTTCAGAGCTCAGCAGACAGGACTCAGTTGTGCTCCCTCTTGCTGTAGATCTGAGAGATGTATTCTTGAGACTGTCAGAACAGTGTTTAGAATTCTCAAAATACACCTGAAAAAAAATGTATTATCAAAGAAATATTTAGCACCAATAGCACATGGTAATTTGCAATCAATACCTTTTAGTTTAAAAAAAAGATATAAAACACCTAAAATAGAACACTGATGCAACAACAAAAATGCAAATAATCTTTCACATTTCACAAATTGAGCAATATCCTGTGCAGATGAATTCAGGGAAAAGATTTTTCCCCCAAATTGCTTGGTAAACTGAAAGTTTAAAATGATACAAAAGATAGCATATGTTAATACTAGGACTAAATCAAGGTTAGTCATTGACCAACAAAAAACCCTATTTTTAAATGTTCACAACTAGTAATTTTCTGAAATAACTTACAATAATGTTTAGAGTAAACTAACATTTGTAAGTTTATTTCCTGACTGACCTCAAATATCCTTGGCAAAGAAAAGTCATGCCTGTACAATTTTACACATTTTAATCCTTAGGTTTACTAGAAGTGACTGTAATGTAAAACTTCTGAAGCCAAGAAACTGAAGTGTTTACAAATGTTTCTAAAAATTACATTGTACATAATTTGGAAACTATAAATTATATATGCTTAGATGAGAAAATGAAAGTATATCCTTTTACACAGTATCTAACAGGTTTTCTAATTTTTATATATAAATGTTATCCCCATTGGTAACATTGGCTATTGACATTACAACATAAAAACTAAGCCAAGGAGAGTCGAGATTTTGTCATCCACTAAGTTTCAACATAGAATTGGCCCCAATGTTGCTCTGGCAGTTCCTTCCAACCAATATGCTTTTAACTAAGTCTGATTAAATAGTTATGATTCAAGATCAAGCAGTAAATTCCTAATTCTCCCAAAAATCGTTTCACAATTGTAACTAGGTTCAGCCATTGCGTGGACTTTATGACCTGTTGGCACAAATGATAGAAGCTACTAGAAATAAATAATAAGCCAAAATAATGTGAAACAGAGAATAGTTTTTAAATCAGATCAATATCATTTTAATGTAGAAGATTATTTACAGGCTACTTAAAAATTATTAACTAGATATAATACATTTGTCATAAATCCTATAGAATGTAGCTGACCTTAAGTGTAAGACTGAGTAGGTGGAATAGTGAATTACATAATAAGGATGTCGAATAATGTATAATTTAGGCGGACAAATCATGAACCATATATTTTGTTTTTAAACTTGAAAAAAAAAGTCCAGTGTGGGAGGAATAAAGTTAGCACCAAGGACAAGCTGTGGTAATGTTTGCAACTCTTCAGTTATAATGACCAAGACTTCAAAATTTTATTACTCCTAAAGATCCACTGGACAAATCTCATAACCTAAATGTTGCTTTTCCATCATATTCACAAGAAAGCTAATGTAGAAGAGAATTTGAGGTTAAAATGTAAATATAATTAATAAACATACAACCCTCATATTTCTACTGAAAATTTTTTCTTGTTTTGCTGTGTAGCTGTATATATATTTTTTCCTTTTTAATTATAATGACTTTGCAACAGTCTCTTCTTCTGTTTGGTTTTGTCCTAGAAATTCCAGTGTCATGAGTTTCTTTCCTATTTATGTGCAAATATAAAAGCTGCTTCTCCTTCAGTCCTTTCAAAAAAGTTTACAATTCCTAGTTCATCCCCCAAGGAGCATGTAGTCCAAAAATAAGTTCTAGCTCGGTACTTTATAAACACCAGACAGGAAACTCACAGTAGCATCAGAGCAACAGTGTTCTCAGGTAGGCTTGAAAACCAAGGTGAACCAGGAATGAAAAGGGAACTGACATATGTGATTTTAAACTACCTGGAAAAATTTTATTCCCCATGAGAGGAATTTATATAACTATTTCATACCATCCTTATGACATAGACTGCTAATTTAAGATGAAGAAAATACTTCATGCTTATTAGACACTTCTTAAAAAGCAAAAGCTTTTAGCTAATATTTACTAAAGATCCAGTCATAATAAAATTCGATGAAAAAAAAAATGCCATGGTCATCCCATCCCAGGCTTAATAGGATAAGAACAACATGGTTTCAAGTCGCAGCAAAAAGTTTTTCAGATATGCTACAATGGGAATTTTTTTTTAACAGTTTAAAATGATAGGTTTATTAGGAAAAGGAGAAGGAAAAAGAGCATAGTCACAAGTGGGCAGGAGGGCTGGGAATTTTTTTGACCAAATGAATATACAGGCTAAAATCCAGTTCGCAGATTTCATGTCATGTATGGGAATATGTGTTTGGAGTAGAAAAACATAAAAGACTTTTTCTTTTAAAGACCTAGCCTGTCAGGAGCAAACAATATCATATAGATTGCCTATTCAGTTGTACAATTAAATACTAGCTTTGAGAGTCAACATTATGTTACAAGGTATTTTAATATCAGTAACAATAAGCCATGAAGTGCATTTCTATTACAAAAAAACATGGTGATATATAGTGAACAAAACTGCCCAAAACAAACTATAAATGAACAATGGTTAAAACACAAAACTTATAAATAGCAAAATCACCAGATAAAGTATATACATTTTATAGATTTACCTATGAACAAAAATATAGTGCATCTAGGAAAGACAATGTTTTTTATATTACAGAACATCTGAATAAGAAATGAAGAGACTGATAATATGCATAAAGCCTATTGGCTTTCCCCCACTTAATATTCCCTCAAATGAAGATCCTTTAAAACAAAACTTTAAGTGCAGCGTTTCACTTTCCCCAACAGGGTACAGAGTCCTGCACATGGGTAAGTAAGAGAGCAGGTATTCCATGCTTAATCCTGGGAGAAAGACAACAACTCTTTAGTTTGCATATAAAAAGTCCTCTAGTCAGACATACAATGACATGAAAAGTCAACCAAAACAATTACTGTATTAAAATGTCTTTACCTCATCTTGTCCACCAGGCACCTCAGTTTTTAAGATGAGTGACAAATCAGCCACTTGGAAAGAAAACTGCTGTTTGAATGCAGTATTTTTCATGACATAGTAATAAATTTGAGCTTTTGCTGCCAGAAAAATTTATCTTTAAGTGCCAGGAATATTACAACAAGACAAACTTTATGAATAACTCAAAATGTATAAAATTATCTTTGTGGTTCACAAACTGTTGAGACTAAACAATAATGCAATGCTCTAATACCATGCACAAAGATCAACATAATTGAGAACAGGCATTTTATACTCGTCTGCATTTCTTTTAAAAACTTAAAAATACAACAACAATAACTTTTCAGAAACTTTCAAGCGCAGCACGATTAAGAATAGCTTAAAGAAAATTATTTTGAACTGCATTGAATAAAGCTGAAATACAAACTTACTACAATAAATGATCATTAAGGACTGATTTTGATATCAGGATACACAATAAATTTAAAAAAAAAATAAAACCATTCTTCAAAAGAAAAAAATATTAAGTCAAGCCTACATTTCTGCAATTCATTGAGTCAAGTTCTGTCCTTTGAAATACCACACTAACATCCTGGAACATATAATATGAATACATTTATTCTCTTGTACTTAAAGGCTATTTCTTATAAAATTCTGGTTAGCACTGTCCTTCCACTAAATGGAGTAGAAACCAAATACAACAGTAGTGCTTCATTCGGTACTTAAGAACCTAGTGATATCCCTGTGGGAAACACATGCTTTGGTGCTTTACAGTTTTAAGAAAATCACAATTGCTTTACATGCAATAGCTAATTATACCACAGAAAACAGGGAGTTTATGCATTTAGAATTTTCACATGAAGCCCTGAGGTACCCGCCTTTCATTTAGGCAACAAATAGCCTCCCTTGATCTTGTATAGTCTTTGTCACTCTTCCCTAGTGCCCCAAATTCAGAATAGTTTAATTAACAATCTTGTCTGCAGACAGTCAATTTAATAAGATTTTTTATGATACAGACTGTGCAGATCATCTAATTTTGAAGCACTGTCTTCTAGTGGAGTTTCACTTGATGTTCCTAGGTCTCCATTTTCATGTCCATCAGTTACTGCTTTCTTATTAAACCCTGGAACAAAGACAGAAAAAAGCAGATACTTTCTAATTTAAAGAGAAAAAAAAAAAGCTCATAATTTTACTGAGACAAAACTAATAGATAGCTACTGTAATTAATAATAATGAAGCAGGGCCTCCCCAGTGGCGCAGCAGTTGAGTGCTGGGTTGCAAAGCTGCCCACAGCCTCTGCAGCGCCGGTTCAATCCCCAGCTGCTCCCTGGCCACCGGAGGAGGGTCCCACATGGCGCACAGACCTCTCCTACCGCCCACTGCTCCCCTCAGCAGTGTACTTCGGTCCTTCTGCCTGCTCTGCTCCCCGCTCTGGCTCTGGTGAATTCTCTCACCCTCCCCGCGCTTCTGACTGTACCCAGTGCTTGTATAAATAAATAAATAAATAATAGATAGATAGATAGATAGATAGATAGATAGATAGATAGATAGAATCTTAAAAAAAAAAAATAATGAAGCAATGTAACAGGGCCCTAGATCAATCAAGTTAACAATTCCTAAATAAAAGAATTTTTCTTTCTTATAACAGATATCAAATACTATATATATATAATATCCAGCTAAAAGATTAAAACTAATTTTGGCTAATCTACAAAACAAGTAGACTTGCAAAAAAATGAGGCTATGTCATCAATTTAGTGAGATGTGACATGTGCTAAATAAGAACAAATGGATATACCTTTTGTGATTTGAGTCAGTTAATAGTGATATGTTTTAGGGGCTTATATATTTTTGGTTATTTAAGATATATTTTAAGTGGTATACAATTTACATACACAAAAGAGAAGTTTTTTTAGTCTTGCATGCAAACAAGGGGCAAGTTTTCTTACAATGACAGAAAATATAAAAGATAATGAACTCATAGGCAGAGCTGCTACAAGCTTTCAATAAACTGCCACAAAGGTTTTATTCAAAATGCATGGGAAAACAGTAATTGCCACTGCTATCTTTGTGTAGATGACACAGCTTTACCAAATATAGCTTTACCAAAAGGGCAAGAGTTCATCAGTTCACAATAAAACTCTATGCCAGAAGTTTGTAAACTTTTGGTCTCAGGATGCCTTTATATGCCAAAAAAAGCTCCAAAGAGCTTTTGTTTATGTGGGTTATTAATGTTATGTGAATTATTAGTATTTATCATGTTAGTAATTGGAAATGAGAAATCTAAAAAACTTAACTTTGTTAAAACTGACAATGTTAACAAATACCTATGTGTTCAGTGAAATAACTATTTTTCAAAAATATTTAGTCCAAAAAAGTAGCATCATTTTACAGTTTTGCAGCTCTCTTTAATGCCTGGCTTTATAAAAAAATAACTGGATTCTCAGGCTTCCCTCATTGCCTAGGGGTTAAGTCTCAGCGCTATCATTCTAGAACTGCTGAGACCTGAGTTTAAACTTTGGCCAGAGAGCTGACCCACATGGCGCAGCAGACCTTTCCTGCCTCTCCTGCTGCTCCCCTCAGCAGTGTATTTCAGTAGATCTGCCTGTTCTGCTCCCCACTCTGTTTCTGGTGAATCCTCTCAACCCCCACACCTCTTGCCTATACTCCAGTTCTTTTATGCATAAGTAAATAAATCTTTAAAAAAAATTAGCTGGATTCTCATATTTCCTTCTGCTTAATCTGTTACAAGTATATGAAAAAAGATTGCCCTTAAATTTAGTTGGAAAAGAGAAGTGTACTTTTAATAGGTTTTTTTTTTCAGATAACTGTCAATATTCTTCTTTGATACTGAGCCAAAATTTGACAATATGGAATTTGAAATCATATCAATTTTTTCCACTCAGTTTATGTACCTTGTACTGTGAGAGGCTCTTCTTTGATTTAGGTAAGAGCAAAATCTATAAAGAAGTTTAATAAGATGATGCACACCTTCCTGTATGCAATGGGAGAGACCCAGCACCATTGAATAGCTCACCCATGTGGCTTTTTTTTTAAAGCACTTTTTCTTAAAAAAAAAAAAGATTTATTTATTTATTTATACAAGCACTGGGTACAGTCAGAAGCGTGGGAGGGTGAGAGAATTCACCAGAGCCAGAGTGGGGAACAGAACAGGCAGACAGATGAAATACACTGCTGAGGGGAGCAGCGGGCGCGGCAGGAGAGGTTTGTCGCACCATGTGGGACCCTTGCCAGAGGCCAGGGATTGAACTGGCGCTGCAGAAGCTGCGGGGCAGCTTCGCAGCCCAGGGCTCAACCACTGCGCCACCATGGATAAGGGGAGGCCCTTATCCATGTGGCTTTAATTGTCACATGGTGCTTAGCCAGGATAAGGGAGGATGGGGGAAGAGAGAAATCACTGAAGGCATTCACTGGGGAAAACAAAGGTACTTCTAATGTCTTCATTGAGAAGATTAAGTCTTGGGTTGTGTGGGGGAAGCCAACCCTTACAGAAAACAGCTTATATTTAACATTAAAAGCAAATTCTACCCAGCCGTCAGAGCCCCTCCCAGGAATAAAACTACAACCAAGGAAAAGTTATTCATTCTACTAATGATGGTTTCCCCATCATAAGAAAATACTGCTAAATATCTGAAGTGTCCATTTAAAAAGTTTGTTAATAATAAATATAATAGCCTTTAGGGTGATTTTTACCTTGTAACGCTTTGATTTCCCCACTTGTGTCCTTGCAACTAGCACCAGAATTATTACCTCCCTCTAATTCATCAAGGTACAAACGATAGCGATGTCCACTCTCATCTTCATATTCTACATTTTCGTCATCAGAATCCACTTCAGGAGCCACATAAACTACTTCAAATTCGATCTCTCCTCTCTAAAATGGAGGAAAATGAGAAAGTTAAGTTGTTGTAATCATAACCTAAAGAAGATTTCCAAGTTCTTTGTGGTGAGGGATATAGAGCTGAGGAATAGTCAGATCTCTCAGAAGTAGTTCCTTTCAAAGCAAGAGATAATGAAATTCTACAATCTCAAGAGGTAAAAGAGGTTTTAAAGGCCACCATTTTCAAATCAATCCCATGAATCTTCTCCACAAGTAATTTCCTTTTAATATTACAGTAGCCCTTTCTACTGATGAAAGTTTTGCTAATAGACCTGAAATTAAAAAGGATGCTTAAGTTTTTACAATTTATAGAATTCTGCAACAAATGTTCAGTTTAAATGTTATTTTGCCATTTTGTACTTTTCATGCCAATTCAGCAGCTCCATCTAAATAGTCAGATATTAATGCTGCACATAAGTGCATCAGACAAACATTTTTTTGACTAATTCAAGAAACCTCTACACATGATTTGTTTCTTACTGAACAGCAGGTCTTGAAACTGTTAAATTTCCTGAGTACCAGACATAGTGTTAATCAAGATAGTCAGTAATAACAGTAATTGTCATTTACTATTACTATCTTTATTGCACAAAAAATTAAATCCTTCAATCCGGAGAATAACCATTTGAGTGAGTTCTGGAGAGAGCAGACAACTCTGGAGAGAGCAGACAATTCTCCAAAATGATGAACAAGAAAAACAGAAAAATTGAATTTTGACTCCACAGTCCTTGCTCTTTCTACTAGACTAAATGTATATTTTTAATAACAACTTAGTGTTCAAGTAAAAAAAATTACAATTTTTTCATACATCCTTGACTTGTTCTTCCTCCCCTCCTTTCTCTTAATCTCAAAAGTCTCCATTTATCAGTGTCCATTGCTTTTATTATTTTTTTAAAGATTTATTTTATTTATACAAGAACCAGGGTACAGGCCAGATACATGGGAGGGTGAGAGGATTCGCCAGAGACAGAGCGGGGAACAGAACAGGCAGATTGACTGAAATACACTGCTGAGGGGAGCAGTAGGCGAGACAGGAGAGGTCTGCTGCGCCATGTGGGTTGCTCCAAGGCTGGCAGGATCGAACCGGCACTGCAAAGGCTGCGGACAGCTTCACAGCGCTGAGTCCAACCATCTGCGCTACCAGGGAGGCCCCCACTGCTTTTTATAACAGTATTTTACTTTGTTGAATCACCTATTACGTAAACTTTCAATATTTGTTTTTGTCATTTTGATTTGCTTTATTACATATAACTCCCTCAAATTCCTTTCATTTTACTGTAAATGTAGTTCTTTTTATTCTTATGCTCTGTCTAGTTTTGGTATTACAATAATACTGACATCAAAAAAAAAAAAGTATTAGGAAGCAGTCCTTGGGTTTTTAGAAACAATTTGAGCAGGATGGGCATAATAAATTCTTCTTTAAAAGTTTGATAGTGGGGTCTCCCTGGTGGTGCAAGGGGTTAAGCACAGCATTATGAAGCTGTACACAGCCTATGCAGCACGAGTTTGATCCCCAGCCGGCCAGGGAGCAACCCACAGGGCGCAGCAGACCTCTCCTGTCTCGCCTACTGCTCCCCTTAGCAGTGTATTTCAGTCAGCCTGCCTGTTCTGTTCCCCACTCTGTCTCTGGTGAATCCTCTCACCCCCCGCATCTCTGGCCTGTGCCCCAGCTCTTGTATGCATAAATAAATCAATCTTAAAAAAAATAAACAAATAAAAGTTTGATAGTGGACTTCCCTGGTGGTCTAGGGGTTAAATCTCAGTGCTATCACCACTAAGGCCTGAGTTCGTACCCAGTCAGGAAGACTTAACCCACATACAGCACACAGCAGATGTCTCCAGTCTCACCCGCTGCTCCCCTTAGCAGAGTATTTCAGTAAATCCACCTATTCTGCTCTCCACTGTCTCTGGTGAATCCTCTCACTCCCGCACCTCTGACCTATACCCCAGTTCTTCTATGCAAAAATTAGAAAAAATGAGAGTTTGATAGAATTCACTAATAAAGCTGTCCCTGAGCTTTCGCTTTGAGGGAAATATTTGATTACTGATATAATTTTCATGATTGTGATTTGTATCTTCTAATCTTCTGTTTCTTCCTAGTTTAATCTTAATAAGCCCATTATTCTAGAAATATGTCCATCTCTTCAGGATTATCAAATTTATATAGTTTTTCATAGTAATATTTTATGATCCTTACATTTTATGCTATCTGTAGTTAATTTCTCATTCTTCATTTCTCATTCCGTTTATTCATGTTTTCTCTCTTTTTTGTTAGCCAAGAGAGAGGCCTGTCAATTTTGTTTAGCTTCTTGGAAAAGCAACACTTAGTTTCACTGATCTTTTGTATATACTTTCTAATTTCTATTTTATTTATTTGTTTTTTTTTTTTTTTTTGTGGGACCCTCACCGTGGTCGGGGATCGAACTGGTGCTGCAGAGGCTGCCGGCAGCCTCGCAACCGAGCACTCAACCGCTGCGCCACCAGGAGAGGCCCCTATTTGTTCTCATAATATTTATTTTTTCTAACTTTGGGTTTTGTCTTTTCCTGTTTTTCAAGTTGCTTTGGGTGTAATATTTAGTTGAGTTGTTTCAGATTTTTCTTGTTTCTTAATATGGTCCTATATTTCAATTATCACCTGTCTTAAGACCTCTTTTGTTGCATTCACAAATTCTAATGGGTTTAGCCTTATTTTCATTAGTCTCAAGTATTTTTTGATTTCCACTTTAATTTCCTCTTTCATGCAACAGCTATGAACAACATGTTGTTTAGACTTCAGGTATTTAAGGCTTTTTCCAGTTTTTTTTTATAGCTGATTTCTAACTTTATGTGTTTTACTCATTAATGATATTTTGCTTCCTAAATATGAGCTCCTGCTATAAGCACTTTTTGTGTATATGTACTTAATTCTCACAGCTCCCAGATGAGGACTGTAGCACAGAAGACTGAAGTAACACACTCAAAGTTATATAGTTGTGAAAAGAACAAATAAGAATTTCGGTCTGTGTATCTGGCCACATATCTTCTATAAAAACCCCAAATCAAAGGAAGCTAGTATCTAAATATACAAACACTTGACTACTTGAGAAAGCTCCTAAGGGAAATATAAGTCCAGAAAGGGAATTTACCTGCTGAGAAAGAATGGTTACAGCTTCTTTATGCTTTGTGTCTCTTAGATTTACTCCATTAACAGCCAGAATAGCATCTCCAACATGGAGACCTCCACATCTATCAGCAGGTTGTCCTGGGTGGATCTCAGAAATGAGAATTGGAACACCATGTTCTTTCCCACCCTAACAATAACAAAACAGTAAATTAGTTTACTCTGTGTATAGTTACAGACTCTTCTAGCAATAAAAGGATCTTTTAATAAGCACCTCTACTGTATAAATACTGAGTAAAATGTTACTTGCCACTTAGCAAAAAATATAATAATTTCTACATTAATGGCAGATAAATTATGACTATCATTAACTCTGAGTAAAATGATTAATAACATACATGTACCTTTCTAAAATATTCCAGAGGGGGAAAACAAAACAACAAACTATATCAACCAATCTCTTTTAAACATAAATGAAAATGTTTATTAGTAGTCCACACCATTAGGTTTCATCTTATCTAAATCACTATGAATGACAGAGCACACCATTATCTTATGGACCACAAAAATAAATGTAAGATTATAAAATGAATCTCAATTTCAGAGATTAAAATGTTAAAAAATGTGCAAGGAAGAAGTGATAAAATGTAGTATTTCATTCCTACTGCTTTTTATGTCCTATATATGCACACACACATATTTCTCCTACCAAAATGAATGCTCTTTGAAGGCAGCACATGATAAAAGGTAGATAGATATTCAATAAATACCCACTGGATAAGCTTTTTATTACAAGAAACATTCTTACATTAAACAATACCAGAAAGCAACTGAACTGATACAGTGCCTAATTATTAATAAATGAATATTAAAGTCAGCTTATCCATTCATGAGGAATAAAGCATTAAGCAATAGCCAAACGACTTCAAATATGCACTTTTTAATAGATTGTCCTCAGGAATGTTGCTCAAGACTGAACTACTGCTTGCAAAGCTATCAAAGTTTAAAAGGAAGGCTAGCTCAATCCCAGAAGAGGCAGTAAAGTATGACAGCAAAGAAATGAGACAAAAGAAAGATAACACATACTCTAGAAAAAGAACATACAATTTGGAGTTATTTAACATAGAAGAAAACAGTCAAATTCATTTTCCAAAGGCTCTTGGAGGCATCACTGGATGTGGTACTAAACTACTACTTGAGTCATAATGAAAGAATTAAAAATTATTGTCACTAAAGGCATACTTAATAGTTACTAGGAAGATTCACATTTAACAAAGCTTATACAGAAATGTTGGTGCTCATGAGGAAAATTTATTTATTTAGAAAATATATCCAGAATACTTTGTTTCCCAATAATGTCCAACAAAGAAGCATGATTATACTATAATTGTAGAAAAGACTGGAAGCACTACTTCTTACTGTAATTGAAATCCCAAGGCCTTCATGATCTTCCTTAAGGAGGAGCACTTTTCTAATTGGACCAACACCTTGGCTTTTCTTTAAAGAGTCTTGATCCTTTTCGTATGGGGGAAAAGGAGGGAAAATTATTATTACTTAAATAATACAGTAAATGGAATAAGCCTGTCCTATAAAACTTGCTTATAGAAATCTTTATTAATTTCATCAAATAGATTCATAGTATAGGTAATAGATAAAAATGGAAAAGTGAAGTTATCTGTCAAAGTTGTGAAATGTGTAGGTGATTTTTCTCCCTCTTTTGTCAATTTCCTAATATTGATACATCTTTTTTTTTTTAAACTATAGGACTTTAGAAATTACTGCCAAGAATTAATTGATGAACAAATATTTTCAATAAAAATGGGTAACTGCTTATGTTCACTGGAAAATATCTTAAAGATGGACATTTTCACAAACTTATAGAATTGAGAAACAAATGGACAACTGGATCATTGATTAATTTTTCATGCCTTTGGGCTCTGGAGTCTACAAGACCTTACTCCATTAGTAATTCTTTCTCTGGTACCTTTACTCATTTCCTCTCAGCTTCTTGCCTATTCAACTTATAAAGTCTAAGTCTCTTCCAGCTTTAAAATGTTGAAAAATGTATAAACATAAAACAAAATTAAAAACTTTAATTACCTACTATCTTCTTTAGTTACCATCCTACTCTATCTTTCTTTAAGCTCCACACACATTTAATCCTCACCATTTAACTACACTTCCATGTCTCTAATAATGCTAATAACATTAATTATTCTAATAACTATAATTAGGGTTTTACCCCTATGTAATTCATGGAAATTATATTCTCTACAGTCACTGGTAACCAATATGGCTACATCCAATAAACAGTTCAGTCACTACTTGAACCTTGCATAAGAAGTTGATACTGTTCACCTCTCTCCCTTGTTGAAACCCTCTCTTTTCCTTGTTTTCTAATACACTGCTGTTCTAGATGGCTTATCCCTGATATATGTACAGGCTCCTTCCTTTGCTTATTCATCTCCTCCTATCATTCCATAAAAATTCCTTTCCATCCATGACCTCCTTCTATTTTCTTTTTTTAATTCAGGGAACATTGGTTGTGTTTTAGGAGTATAGGATCTCCTTCTTCAGGTGTTATACCACACCCAACCAAAAGACCCACAGAATCTACCACTCAGCATAATCCATTGTGCTTCTTCTCCACTTCTTTCTCACCCCCACCCAACTGTGGTAGCCTCAGTTCTATTGTCACATCGGTAGGGACTGTTATTCATTTGGCTTTATCTGACTTGATTCTCTATATCCCACATATAAGTGATACTGTATGGTATCTGTCTTTCTCATTTTGACTTATTTTGCATAAACCCCTTCAGCTCCATCAATATTGTTACAAGTAGCTAGTGTATATTTTTGATAGCTGAGTAGTATTCCATTATGTATATTACCACATCTTTCTGATCCGTTCATCTGTTTTTGGACACCTAGGTAGTCTCCATAATTCGGTTATTGTAAATAGTGCTGCAATGAACAGAGGAGTGTATATTTCTTTTCAAATTTGTGTTTTCATATTCTTCTACTTAGGAGTAGAATTACTGGCACATATGAAACATCCACTTTTAGCCTTTTGAGAAACCTCCATGCTATTTTCCACAGGGGCTGGGCTAGTCTACATTCCCACCAAGTGTAAAAGGGATCCTTTTTCTCCACATCCTTACCAACACCTGCCTCTGCTCTTTTTGATATGGATCACTTTCATGAATGTGAAATGGTATTTCAGTGTGGGTTTTATTTGCATTTTCCTGATGATAAGTATTGATGAGGATTTTTTCATGTCTATTAGCCCTTTGTATGTCTTCTTACTGTTCAAGCTCATTGGTTTCACATAGGAAGGCAACTGCTTTCTGTGTATTGTGTACTGATTTTGTATCCCACCAATTTGCTGAAGTGATTTATTGTTCCAATTTGTTTTTCAGTAGCATCTTTAAGGTTCTTTATGTATATTTTCATGTCATCTGCAAATAAAAGTAGTCTTACCTCTCTCTCAATTTGTATTCCTTTTGTATCTTTCTCTTGCTTAATAGCTCTAGCTAGGACTTCCAATACTATGTTGAAGAGCAGTGGTGAAAGTAGACCCTTGTATTGGTGGAAATCTTAGTGGAAGAGCTTTCAGATTTTCACTACTGAGAATGATGTTAACTGTGGTTCCGTCATATAAATGGTCTTTTTTATGTTGAGCTATGTTCCATCTATCCCAGTTCTTTGAGCGTTTTCATAATTGGATGCTGAATCATCCTTGGCATCCATTGATACGATCATCTAATTTTTATTTTTTCTTTTATTTTATGTGGTGAATGATGTTGATTATTTTCAGATGTAAACCATCTTTGTGCACCTAAGGTAAATCCCACTGAGTCATGATTATAATCCTTTCAATGCACTGTTGGATTTGGTATGTTAAGATTTTGTTGAAGATTTTTGCATCTATGTTCATTAGGGAAACTGGTTTGAAGTTTTCTTTTTGTGTTTTTTTTTTTTTTTTTTTTTGTCTGGTTTTGGTATTCAGGTAATGTTAGCCCTATAAAAAGTCTTTCTCAACTTTTCAGAAGAGTTTGAGGAGGATAGATATTAGCTCATCTTCAAGATTTGGTATAACTTGTGAAACTGGTCCTGGACTTGTGTTTTTTGGGAAACTTGATTACTGTTTTAATTTCCTTACTTATAATTAATTGGTCTGTTCAGGTTTTCTATTTCTTCCCTACTCAGTCTTGCATGGTTGTATATTTTCTAATTTTTCCATCTCTTTCAGGATATTCAACTTACTAGCATATAAATGCTTATAGTAGTCTCTTATGATCCGTTGAATTTCTGAGATGTGCTGTAATTTCTTCGGCTTCATTTCTGACCGTATTTATTTGAGTTTTGTCTCTTATTTTCTTTGTGACTAGCTAGAGGTTTGTCTATTTTGTTGATTTTTTTCCAAAGAATCAGCTTTTGGTCTCATTAATCTTTTGGACTATCTTTTTATTTCAATTTCATTTATTTCTGCTCTAAGTTTTTATTATTTCCGTCCTTTTACTGACTTTTGGTTTTGTTTATTCTTTTTTCTAATTCCTTAGGCAAGAGATAAAACTATTTACTTAAGTTCTTTTTTTCTTTCTTGATGTGGGCCTATATAGCAATATATTTTCCTCTCTGTGCTGCTTCTGCTATGTCTCATAAGTACAGAAAGGTTGTGTCCTCATTATCATTTGTTTCGAGGTATTTTTTTATTTCTTCTCTGATTTCTTCCTTAACCCAATAGTCATCAGTAGTTTGTTGTTCCGTCTCCATATATTAAGGCCTTTCTTGCTATCTTTTAGTGGTGGATTTCTAGTTTGATATGAGCCTTGTATCCTTTTTACTCTCTACATATTTTCCCTGGGTCAACGAATCAATGCCATTGTTTCAACTGTAACGGATGATTTCCCTAATAATTTTTCAAGTGAAACTACTCTTCTGAATTCCAGAATCATATATCCAACTGGAAATATCCTGACTGTCCCACTGGGTACCGCAAATACTACAGTCTAAAACCGATCTTAATCATCTTTCTCCTAAAACCAGCCTTTTCCTCTATATGTTTATCAGTCAGTACCATCATCTTACTCATTTCTAAACCAAATACTCAGATTCTTTTTCATTTACCTACTCCAACAAAAGTTTGATTCTAATGCTCTCAAACTTGCCCTTCCTCTCAAATAACTTCTGCTATCATAGCTTTCCTCTTGAATTCCTAGAGTATCTTTCCAATGTATCTCCTTGAATCCAACTAGGTCCTCTTCTAAGACATACTCTTCACTATTCCAAAGTGACTGTCAAAGTGTTAAATCTTATTAAATCCATTATTTTATTTAAAAATTCCATGGTTATCAGGTTAGAAGTTCAAAGTAATTTAGCATAAAATAACTTTTGTCATCAGGTCACTACCAGATGGTAGTGGGAAACACCAGTGACCAGAGAAGACAACAGTGTGTGTGTTTATTGCAATTCCTACTTCTCTCTCTGACATACCATTCATATATGTTGATTCTTCTTAAATAATCTTCATATGGTATTAGGAAATATGAACTACTGGGTAAGAGTCTGACATGCTTTTATTATATTAACATTTGTATCATCAGGCAGCTGTTGTGTTGAAATTTAATAAAGATCTGTCCCGATAGAAAGAAAAGTTTCCTTTATAATGGTAGCTTAAGCAGAAGACAACTGGGCAGAACTCAAATTTCATCTTAATTCAAGACCAAACAGGTGTAATTATTAGTTCAGAAACTACATTTGAATTTAGTTCAATTCCCTAAAGAATTGCCCAGAAATATTAGCCGAATTATCAACATGACCACCCCCACACTCCCCGCTAAGCTTAAAAAAAATTCAAATCTACCTAATCGTGATACAGAAAATTTAAAAATATGGCCCAATATAATATAAATGTACATTTGCTAACAATAGTTTACTACCTTCATTGATATCACTTTCAGGGCAGGTCAGTTTGTTAAAAGCTACAGATTGCTGAAACTTTAAATATGTTATCTGTTTTAAATAAGTTAGATCCCTTTTCTTTTTTTTTTTTAAAGTTTTTTAGAATTTTATTTTATTTTTTTTAAATAGAGGCATGTTTTCTTTCTTTCTTCTTTATTTGTTTGTTTGTTTTGTTTATACATGCACTGGGTACAGTCAGAAGCGCGGGAGGGTGAGAGAATTCACCAGAGCCAGAGCGGGGAGCAGAACAGGCAGAAGGACCGAAGTACACTGCTGAGGGGAGCAGCGGGCGGCAGGAGAGGTCTGCGCGCCAGGCGGGACCCTCCTCCGGTGGCTGGGAAGCAGCCGGGGATCGAACTGGCGCCGCAGAGGCCGCGGGCAGCTTCGCAACCCAGCGCTCAACCGCTGCGCCACCGGGGAGGCCCATTGTTAGATCCCTTTTCACTTATTAAATAAAGTTTTACAAACTATTAGAATGAAGAAAATAAAATGACCCTCTGATTATAGGAAAAAAGAGACTAAGCGAGAAATAGCAAAACATACATGGCCTGGTGGTGCTTGCATTGGTCGTTTCAGGTCATTACGTCCTCTGCAGGCTCTGATAACAGTTTTGTGACGATGCAAATGTATTTCAGCTTCCAGTTGGTTCCAAAGCTTATCATGAGCAGGTCCCTTCATATCACGTCCTAGTAACTGTATTTGCTGGACTCTTAATATTGGGGACAGGGTTAATTTGGTGAATTTTTCATTGTGTATAATATAGAGAGAATTCAGAAGAATTACTAAAAATAAGTACATATATCTTTCTACAAAAATCTGTTAGTAATAAAATTAATTCTCATAAACCTCCTGTCTCTCAGAATTATAAAGATAAATCTGTCCTCTGAAAAGGACAGGTGTCATCACGGCAAAACCAGTTTAAAAAAAATGAATGAGAACTTCTTTAGTCATATACTTAAATCATATATCTAAAAACAATTCAGGACACCAATGTCAATTAACATGTGCTTCATGTCTTGCTGCAATCAAGACAGGTCATCGAACTCAAATACTGAATGCCTGTCTTTAGATGAGGCTAACTGTACAAAGACATTTATTCTAATGAGAATTTCTTTTTACAAAGTGATTATTTTACCTGTGGTAGAAGTGGTTAGAAAATGTGCTCCTTAATATAAAATTTTACGGGTTCTACATTAGTTCTTAATGTGACATTACAAATAATGAACAGAAAATTATTTCATATTAATCACCAAAGTTTGTAAGTCATTGCAAAAAAATTAATACAAGCAGAACTCTGTATTATTATGATAAAATCATTGTCATTCCACAGGGTTTCTGAGAGGCAACTGAGTTTCAGTGATCACAGAAAGAATTCTTCATGGAAGCTGTGGATATATGTGAAAATCATTTGTTATGGAGTCAAGGCAGGAAGTAGGTAAAAGTTCAGTTTTAAAGCTGTTAGCAATTCAGAGAGAGAGAGAGAGAGAGAGTAAAGCAGAATAGTTACTTAGTATGACTAAATAAATCTGCAATATATACTGCTGTAAATACTAAGGAGCATGTCATACCCAATTATAAAATTGCTTAGGGTAAAGACAGTTCCACTTCCCACAAAAGATAGGCATCAACTTCACTAAATATCCAATTTGTCACCAAAGACCACAGGGTGTTTAAAAAACAATGGGTATCCTTTTTTTTTTTTTTCCTACACACCTTCCTGCTAGTTCCTTATCCAAGTACTTGGCAGCCAGTCTTGCCCCATAAACTTCAGCCTGGAGAACAGCTATATGTCTACGAAGGGCTTCATTCTCTTTTCTCAATAACTTCACTTCAGCTTCAAGTTGAGCTTCTTTCATTTTTTCTTTTTTATTTGCTTCAAGCTCTCTCTCCTATTGCAATTTTTAAAAAATACATAGTGTAATGAAAATACCTTTAAGATCCTTTAGCAACATACTATGTTCCTTAAAATACACAAAAGCACACAATTTATGATACCAACAATGAAAGCAGATGATAAATATTATCACTTCCTTTCTGTAAAATGGAAGACAAAGATTTGGATCCAGTTCTTCATAACTAGTATCAGAAGATAAGAGCAATTTCTAGATAAGATAATTACATGCCTTGTTAGGACCTTGATACTTCTAAAAGAAATAGTGTCTTTAAGCTCATGTTATCACATACTAATCGAAGTAGTTTCAATGGGTCACTGAATAGTCCTTTCTAAAAATTATCCAAGAAACTAGACAAAATAAAAATAATTGCTTTGGTGGCTGTGCCCAAACAGTTCATTAATGTAAAGCCACAATTCTATAAAGCAAGTCAAAATCATTCAGTTATATTGACATTACATGTTATAGATAATTTATCTGGTTATTAGAAATTTACAATGCTTAAGTTAGAACAGATATTCTAATTTTTAGAAAAATATTTGATACCATGGAAAATGTTGATAACAACTGCATTAAAACATGTATGCATTAAAGATTTTCTATAAGCGTAAGCATATCTGTAAAGTAGATGATCACTGAATTTTGAGATCTGGCTCATTATCTGCCCATACATTACAATGAATGAAGATCTGTTTCCTCAGGAATATACTGGCTTCACTTGCCTACTATGAGGTAGCGTGGACATCCACTTTCATGTCCATAAAAGGATGCCTGAGTATGCTCCAACTGGTAGAATCCACATATGTAAATTTATAGGTGCTAGTCAGAGAATATAACATTAAGATCCTTGACATCAAACTTTTAGATTACGTTCACATGTGAGAAATAATGTTCTATTTACTTTTTAAAAGTATAAATTATAGTACATCTGTTCCTCTAAATGCAAGGTTACATGCAATGCCTTCAAAATCCAAGCACAGAACAGATTGGTGAATATAAGACAAAGTGAAATAGAAAACAGCACAAAATCCTGCCAAAGGCCGTCTCCCCTCACCCCCCCCAACATAAACACACACACACACACACACACACAAGCTGTCTGCTAATCACAACCTTCTGAGAATTAAATATGGCCTCTGATAGTGTTATTTTTGGATCTGGAAAACCACATACACTGTATTTATCCTAAGTAAAACTTTTTCCTAACACATTAATTTATAAAACCTACAAATTCTGTGAAATACAGTTATATTTGTTGACAACATATGTAAGACACTGTTCCTTAAACAACCATATTTCTTTTATGAGACTTAAGATCTACCTTAGTACCAGGAAAAATTATTTCTCTTGAGAAAGGTGGTAATGATTCTGTTTCTATTGTATGGGTACTGTTTATTATAATTATTTTCTTTTTTATTCTGGATATTAAAATGCCAAGAAACAAATTTAAGCCAATTTCTAGTGATTTATGGAATATGTCGACTCTGGTCTACACTGCTTTGACAACAGTGTATCAACACATTATATATGTAAACATCATGACAAGATGCATTCAAGTACTAGGAAATGAGTACCATAATCTTAAAAATAAAAAATAATATACAAGCCGAAATGGACAACTATACCAAATGTTGGCTATATTTATCACTTCTTTGAATAAAAACATTTGCTATGTATGTCATTAAAAAAAGAAAGATTAGCTAGCAGGCTTTTTCAACTTCTGTAAAAGAAAATAACCACTAAAACATAGTTTCTAGGTATGGTTTTTAAAAAATATGAGGAAATAATAACCCAGAAACCTCCTTTGATAACAACTTTGGACTTATTAAAATTTCAGAACCTATTTCCTAAAAAGGCAGGTGTTTATTTCAAAAGAAACCAGTTTGGATAACATAAAATGTTTTATTATGACATTAATTGAAGTTAATGTTGTTTATTTCAAAGTTCCTAAAAGAATAAGAATTCTTTAGTTTATAAGCCAAACAAACTTTATCTTGAAAATTATCTACTACAATTATTTTAATGAGCAATTTGTACAATATTTATGAAATCTGAAAAACATATTATGCCATCACTTTAATTGTTTAAACCCCAGGCATGACAAACTCCCAGGCATGAAATTCAAAGATGCAAGCAAGAATAGGGCTAAGAAAAGTGAAGTTAATCACTTTTAAGGAAAGTTTTCTTTTGCTTCTTTTAGTTAATTGTTTTTTTATTAGGTAACAACTAAGAAGTTTATTTGGTACTTGGATATTTAAATAGTCTATATTTTTCAAGAAGTAAAACCATGTGACAAACTGCAACCTGATTAGGTTGGGGTAGTGGGGAAAATATTAAGAATTTACATAGTACTGTTATTTTCTAAAATTAAGTTCTGGTAAAGGATTTCAAATTTTAGTAGTTTCAAGGGCCACACAATTATTCTCAAAACTGTTGAAAAGTTACAACACAGCACTGGATGACTAAGAAACCAACATGCATATTCTTTCTCTAGAAATAAATTCAAACAAAAAAATAGAAAAAAAATTAGGCTTGTTTAATATTTCTTCAAAACACTCAAGTGTAAAAACCAATTGCCCTTTTGAAGTAGAGGTTTGAGGAAGTTGTAACATTCAGAAGTTGTCAACAATTGATGGGCTTTGCAAATAATGGCTATAAATCATAAACCAAAGGAAAATCTTTAACATGTAGTAAAAAAAGGGCAATGGACTTCCCACTCAGCTTTTCAGGTGTTGACATATTTAAAAAAGCCATCATTATCACTTTCAAACACAAAATGACAACATGTGAAATGCAAATAAACAAGAACACTTGTGTATGACATACTAAATCAAAACAGAAACAGCACACTTACCAATTCTTCCACAGAGGGGACAGACTTAAGGTATAAGAACAAAGTTTTATCATTAGAAAAAAAAAAGATGAATTTATCTAGTGATACAATCATTACAAGGAGAATTCCCATGTTTAATACCAATTGGGTAACGTTCATTGGAAATATATTTGAAAATTTGTAAGAAATATTAACTACATAGTACTAGATTAAAAACTTTTGTTTGATCGAAATTAGTCAAAGTCTAGTCAAAGGCAGGTTTAATGTCTTTCCACTATATTATTCTGTTTGAAACACAATGCTAAAACTTTAGGTAAATTCTTTTCTAGTAAAAATGTATAATGTATCTCAATGTTAATATCAAATATTAAAGCAGCAGTTAGGAATCTGACTCATTTCTGTTACAGAACAATACTACTGAGATACACTGAATTTTAGACTTGATGGAACTGTAAATATTCATTTAATTAAATTTTAACATACCATTATTATAAACAAATTCATCAATCAAATGGAATTAACTGAAAATAAATAAAACTTTAAAATGTCACTACTCTCATTATCAACACCACTTCATCTCCTGTCTCCCTCATAGTATCTGTCTTACTTTTGAGGTGCTCCCTATATTTAACAAAGTGTCTGGCATATAGTACATACTCTACATGAGGTTAAACTGAAATAAAATTTAATTTTTTTCTATGTAAACAACCTATATTAATTAAGGGGAAATAATTATGTGAAAGTTATACAATGAAATATTATATAAACATTACAAAATGTTCAGTATTGGGAAAATGGTTATAACATATTAAGAGGCAAAGAAAAAAATGTGCCACTGGTTGGCACCCAATTGCATTTTCCCCTTTTTCCTTATTAACAAAACTCCAACTTTACTTAAGTGGTGGCTATGTAACCAAGACTGACGGATGCTAGGACTGCAAGAGAGATCTCCAAATTCACCAGCAAAAATTCTTGAGGATTTCAGTTAAAATTCTTTAAAGTAAACTAATGTATCTGGGAAACAAATTTTTACCCTTTCCTAGTGCCTGGAATATAGACAAGAAGAAATAAGAGGAAAGCAACCATGAGGATGGTAGAACCTGGACCTATTATCTTATGGAACTGTCATATCACTTCCGGATAGTGTGTCTTCCGGAGGTGAGATAAAACAGTTTATACTAGTCAACAATAACCCCAGTGTTACTTGGAATTTCTGTTGTATGTAGCTGAACAAATTCTACCTGATACAGTATACCAAAAGGTTGTTTATTATGTTCTAATCATAAACATCTCTTAAATATATTTATACAGATATTTTATTTATTTATTTATTTGTTTGTTTGTTTGTTTGTTTTGTTTATACATGCACTGGGTACAGTCAGAAGCGCGGGAGGGCGAGAGAATTCACCAGAGCCAGAGCGGGGAGCAGAGCAGGCAGAAGGACCGAAGTACACTGCTGAGGGGAGCAGCGGGCGGCAGGAGAGGTCTGGGTCTGCACACCATGTGGGACCCTCCTCCAGTGGCCGGGGAGCAGCTGGGGATCGAACCGCTGCGCCGCAGAGGTCGCCGGCAGCTTCGCAACCCAGCGCTCAACCGCTGCGCCACCGGGGAGGCCCTATACAGATATTTTTACATAGAAAAAATTGCGAAGTATCATCTGGTGATTAATGTTCTCACCTCTTGTTAATGAGATCACAGATGATCACGAGGATCATTTGTACATTTCCTGTATTTTCTAAATTTCCCACAGTGCACGTATTACCTTTTAAAATTAAAAGGCCTCATTAGGGGCCTCCTTGGTGGTGCAAGGGGTTAAAGTACAGCACTGGGAAGCTATCCGCAGACTCTGCAGCATGAGTTCAATCCCCAGCCAGGGAGCCACCCACATGGTACAGCAGACCTCTCCTGTCTCACCCCCTACTCTCCCCTCAGCAGTGTATTTCAATAGATGTGTCTGTTCTGCTCCCCACTGTCTCTGGTGAATTCTCTCACCCTCCGGCACCTCTGGCCTGTACCCCAGTTCTTGTATGCATAAATAAATCTTTAAAAAATAAATTAAATGGCATCATTAAAAAGTGTCCTCTGTATGCTCTAAAATAAATGTTAGTATATGGTACTCTCCAAACTACTTACCAATTTTGCCTTAATGGTACCAGAGTCAACACTCTGGCCAGTTTTCGCATGAAGCTGAAGCTGAATAGAATGTAACTGTAAAAGCTGATCGTGCACTTCTTTCTCCAGTACAACTTTCTCTGCTTGGGTCTCTGTCAGTTCAGATTTCAGATCCACCAACTGTGCCTTATAAAACAACAACAAAATACATTAAGTATGCTTAATATTCTTTATTTAGTATTTATCATTCAAGAAAGATTAGAGAGGCTATCTCTGAAATGAATAAACACTAGAAGAGCATTACCTGACTGAGATAGAGGACATCCATCCAAACTGACATAAAATCAGTAATAAAAGGAAAATATTTCAGTAACAAGAAAACTCCACTATAAACATTTAACTTCTAGTAACACAGAATGCTACTCCACTGAATTCTTTCTTCACTGTTTTATCTTTATATGTTTATGAAAACACACAGAGGGGATTTTACACCAAACTGTAAAAATATGTTATAGTGGTCCACTAACATTAGTAGTATATTAGAAGAGAAACCAATAAGTAGTGCTCTGTCTTCATCCCAGGGAATACTAAACCATATCAGTATAACCACTATCTAATAAAGTTATTTTAGGTGCTAACGCATGTGCTACTGAGGCTACAGTGGGCCTAAAGATCAGAGTTAATTTTAATTGTAAACTACAGTTAATTGTTACACCATAAAACAACTCATCAAAACCATTTATTCATTCAATTTGAAGTTTCTCATTTTTCAGAACAGATCCATTGCTTTATAATTGTGCACAGGATGTGTCCCCCATATGTGTTTGGTGTTACTAACTAGCCAGCAGATTAAAGTTCAAGGCAAGGTCTTGGCTTTCTATTCAATTCAATGTAATTTTACTAAGCATCTAAGAGCCCAGAGCTATGCCAGCATAGAAACAAAAAAGTGTGGGAAATACCTTGAAATTATATTTTGAGAGACTTTCATATCAATTAAAATGATAAATATGCATTCCAACCAACTAAAGAAAAATGTGGCAAATTAAAGTTATATTTATAATTGGTCCAGGCCCACGGCGCAGAGATGCCAGAGGACTGGAATGTATTTCTAGATTCCAACAGCATTAATTAGTGCCTAGTAGATAAAAGATACTCAATAATTCTATTCAAGTTGAAATGAATTTTAATAGCTGTGGTTCCAGATAAATCACTGTCTCAAGTTTTCTCACTTATGAAACAGGGGTAATTTCTAAGGTTTTGACTATTTTCTGTAGACTATTAATCTGATATACAAAGCAATTTACCCATTTGCTAGTCTATTAGAGTTCTCAGAAAGGCCTCATAACAATATTTCTTGATTTCTGGCATGTTCTTGACTATTTATTTGTAGTCTTATACCTGAAGTCAGTTTGGCTGAATACAAAATCGTTAGCTCCTATTTTCTTTCTTTGAGTATTTTATATATGTTGCTCCACTGCTTTCTGGTACAAAATTCTGACTGCTATTGAGATGTCCAGTCCCAACCTTTTCTTCTCTTATAAATGAGTTGGTCTTTGCTTTATTTTTAAATCCCAGTATTTTACTAAAATATATCTTGGTGTTAATCATTCTAGGTCCATGTATACTCTTTCAATATACAGATTCCATCTTGTTTTATTTCAGAAAATTTTGTTGGTAAGATTTTTTGAGTGAGTGAACTGATTAGTAATTTTTGTCATTAAGGTAAAATTCCCAAGATATGAGATAATGAAAATATTTTGGAACTAGATGCAGGTGGTGGTTTGAATATTATAAATCCCACCAAATATTAATATTAATCATTTTAAAGCGAACAATTCTAGTTCACCTGCATCTAGTTCCAAAATATTTTCATACCTATGAAAGTAGTCACAACTCATTCTCCCTATGCCTAGCTTCTGGGACCACCAATCTGTACGTTTCTATGGACTTACCTATTTTAAATATTTCAGATAAGTGGAAGCATAAAATCTGTGATCTTGCGTGTCTGGCTTCTTTCATTTAGCATAGTATTTTCAAGGTTCATCCATGTTATAGCTTATACCAACACTTTATTCCTTTTTATGGCTGAACAACATTATACCATGTATATACCCCCACTTGTGAGTATATGCCACAATGTGTTGATCATCCACTGGTAGAGATTTCGGCTGTTTCACCTTTTGGTGATAATGCACAGTGCGGCTATGAACATGTGTGTATGTATATTCGCGTGTGTTTTCAGTTCTTCTGGGGATATGTGTAGAAATCCTGGATCATATAATACTTCTGTTTAACTTTATAAGAAACTTAAAACTTTCATAGTCACTAAACCATTTTACAGCAAATAAGGATTTATTGATAATAATTTTATTTTTATTTTTATTTTTAAAAACTTTTTTTTTAAAGATTTATTTATTTATTTATACAGGCACTGGGTACAGTGAGAGGTGTGGGAGGGTGAGAGAATTCACCAGAGCCAGAGCGGAGAGTAGAACAGGCAGAGTGACGAAGTACACTGCTGAGGGGAGCAGTGGGCGGCAGGAGAGGTCTGTGCGCCATGTGGGACCCTCGCCCGGCGGCCAGGGATCAAACCAGAGCTGCAGAAGCTGCGGGCAGCTCAGCACTCAACCGCTGCGCCACCGGGGAGGCCCTATTGATAATAATTTTAAACATCTGCTTTCAAGTTTCCTCAGGGAATCCAATTATACTAACATTAATTACACTTCTTTCTTCCGTATTTGTAATTTTTTCCCAAATCTTTTTTCTTGTAATTTTTTTTCCTTGCTATTCTTACTAAATTGTATATTTCCTTCTAACTTATTTTTCATTCTTGACTTTTCCCCTAAGTCTCTACAAGTATTTGTTTTGGTTTTTTAAATGATTATACTTCCGAGTTTTCCTACATCTGAATTTTACTGCTTTATTGATAGTTGAATATTAATTTCCTTTAGTTGATTTTATAGCAGTTTTCAGTTTCATCTACTTTGTGGCCATATATTTCTGATACAGCTTGATTGTATAGTGTTATATTATTCTATTAGTTTTCATTATTTTTGATTATAGCCCCTCTTATTGGGACTCATTATTCTCAATTCATGTTTAAATAAAATGCATTTTCACGTACATATAAAAGAAGACCTCCAATATAGGGGGTTAATAATGCACAGGTAGTACTCCTAGCTTCACAGCTGGCAGACACCCTCTTCTAGCCTTAAAGTGAACTATTTAAAACCACGGCTTCTTATGTAGCCATAACCACTGTTTTGAAAGCATCCTTCCCTACCCTGATTATAACATTCTCTTCCCTTCAAACTTAAATTTCTGCTCTGCTCAACTTGGATTCTACTTCTGGCAGCATTTCTTTACATTTACACTCTATCCCAAAGCAGTTTTTGTTAGAAATTCCAGAGATTCAGAAAGTGCTTTCTAATCTTCCTGAAGAGTCAACCTGGAGGCAAGTTTGCCAATTTTATCAGGTTAGTTTGCTCAAGTTAGTGAGCAAAGTAGTCTGTGATGATTTCCATCCAAATGTCATCTTCTTTTGGTGATTTCAGTGTTTCTGGGCTCTCCTGCCATATAGGAGCTCCTCCACATGAGATCCGTGTGGGTTCTGCTATCCTAACCTACCACATTTTGGGACTTGTAAGGACACCACATTCTGGGGCTAGTTTTGCTAAAGAGGCTATCATTGGTTTTCTTCTGTGATTCCTGTTTGCATGTAACTGGAAGAGTATGTAACAGTATTTATACATCTGTCACAAATACTCTTAACTGAAAAAACTTAGAAAAAACTGTAAATGTATCATAAAAATGCTTTATAGGTTTTTTGCCCATTTAACAAGTTGCCCACCAAAAATAAACATTTAAAATCACATATTAATGAACAATAATCAGAGTACTTTGAAAATTTCACTGCTAAAGTAAACCTGGTCTAGAAAGTCCTTCTTAAGTCTTTGGTTAGTCTTGGTCTTTGAAACAGTAATAATCACAAAAGAGGGCCTCTCCGGTGGCGCAGTGGTTGAGCGTTGGGTTGCGAAGCTGCCCGCAGCCTCTGCAGTGCCAGTTCGATCCCCGGCTGCTCCCCGGCCACAGGAGGAGGGTCCCACATGGTGCACAGACCTCTCCTGCCGCCCGCTGCTCTCCTCAGCAGTGTACTTCGGTCCTTCTGCCTGCTCTGCTCCCCGCTCTGGCTCTGGTGAATTCTCTCACCCTCCCACGCTTCTGACTGTACCCAGTGCTTGTATAAATAAATAAAAAAATCTTAAAAAAAAAAATCACAAAAGAAAAATATTTGAATAGAACGCACACTTCTTGAGTGATATATAGCTTATGCTAAAGTCAGCATACTCAGAAACAGTTTAAAACAAGTCATTAAGTTTATAACAATCCCTAATTCTTTCTTTCATCACATTGACTTTCATTCTGTATTTATATTACTGTTTTGTGGTATTGTCTAATATATTCCTCTATTCCTTACATTTCCTATAAACTGAAGTTAGATCTAAAGGTTTAATTAAATTCACTTAAAACCTTTTTGGTAAAACACAACACAATTATACTATGTTTCATCAACATGCATATAGCATCTGGTTGTCCCCCTCTATGATTTAGCTTCCAAATTAAAAAAAAAATCACATGATCTATTAATAAATGAGTAAAACTTCTGAAATTAAGAAGTTAAAGAAGTATAAGTGATAATTCTTAATGTGGCAGACCAACAGTCACATCAGAATTAATGTACTCTAAAAGGACAAGGGAAACAGGACAGTACATAAACATGGACTCTTCATTTAGTGAAATAAATGCTCAAATGTTATTCAACCTTTATCTTTTTTTTTTTAGAACAAGTGTTTTAAATTTACTCTAAATTTAACAATAATTAAGTGACTCTTCTCTGTGATATAAGCATTTCAGCTTTTAGGAAAAGGTAATCACTGATAAACTATGTCAAGATTAGAAAGAAACTTCCACATTTATTTAATGGTAACCTTCCTAATATCACAGAATTTTCAAATTCAAAGGAGCTTAGCGAACATAAAATTAAGATTACAAGGGCCTCCCTGGTGATGCAGGGGTTAAAGACAGTGCTGTAAAGCTGTCCCCAGTCAGTGCAGCACAAGTTCAATTGCTCGGGTGGCTAGGGAGATGACCCACATGGCACAGTGCACCTCTCCAGTCTCACTCGC